TTGGGGTTAGGGTTAGGGTCAGTGTCTGCATGCCCCCTGCCTGGTCCTTTTCTCGTGATAAACCCACGTTTTGTGTGGGTAGTCCCACACGAAGTGTACGTTGCACTAAACTTGATCACAGGACGACGGTTGCTTTTTTCTATCTCGTACGTATTGGTTTGTGAAGGTGGGTTTCCCCAGGCAGCAAGTACGCGTCCGATACAGTTTTTTTTTTTTTGTTGGGAGTCTGATTTTTCTTCAGAGGTGAAATAATCTCTCAATGCGGCACGCCGTGTTCAAGCCCCAAGTAACCATTGATATCGTGTTTCGCTGTTCCCTTTCCGGACGCTGATACGCCCTCCCGGCAGCATGAATTGCGAAGTCAGCATTGATTTCATTTTTCGCTGTTTTCCGGATACTAATATGCCCTCACGGCAGAACACTGAAGTACAATATGGGCCCGCAGTCAAGAAATATTTCGTCAAGAAACAGAGCTAGAACTTCACAACAACAATAGGGCTTTATTTCAGCGGTGGATCCTGCACTCTCTAACGACGTCCCTGACAAAACGGTGGCGATGAAATACGAGCTGCCCGATTTTGACATTTTCTTGTTGTCCGTATTGTAATTTATGCAGCCTGGAGAGATAATCTTCTACGAGAGCGCGAGCGTCATCCACGGCAGACCGCAAGCATTCCAGGGGAGCAGGTTCGCCAACATTTTCGTCCACTTCTCGCCGGCGGAAGGCTGGGACGTGACGGCCAATACAGTGGAGAGGGCCGCGAAATTCGGGAAAACGCAAAAGAGGCAGCAGGAAAGCGCCACCGATGAAAAGGCAAAGGCCGCGTGAGATGCCTCGCTTGCGACATCTCTCCGCGATGCCGGTATCTTTGCGGGATTTTTTTTTTTTTTTTGTGGTGTTGTTTGCGGCGTGAAGGTGTTGATTGAGGGCGTTGCCACGTTGGCTGGGTGGGGTAATAGAAGAGGACGGTGCATTTGTTTGCTGTCATGATGCTGCTTGTAACCGGGATCAAAGACGTGACGGTAGAGTTTTGCGGCGAAATTCAGGGATGGGCGGCGTCCTCTGTCAGACCTTCGGTGAGTGTATGTTTGCGTACCCTTGTACTGCTGCTGTGCGTGTTTGTGTTTAGTGCCCGCGTCGGACCCATGCCTCGAAAACTTGCCGTGGAGAGGAGGCTTGGGACCGTTATTCGGACCGTTCTTTTTTTCCTTGTACGAAGCAGTCAAACCGCTATTTTTTCAGAGTAGAGATGGTCAAGAACAGAAACTGCTATGTTTTCACAGCAGAGATGGTCAAGAACAGTTGTGTGTTGTTATTCGTCTGGGCCAATTATTGCATCCTCAAGAAGCCGGAGGGAGGGCGTTGTCGAGTGTTTCAAGTTTGCGTTTCCCGGGAGGATGGCGTGGTCTGCGTCGTACGGGAAAAGGGGCGAGTTAGCCTGTTTTGCAGCACAAAAGTGCCCGAATTCTCAGCACGGTAAATTAAGCCAAACTTGTTTGCCGCTCCTCCAGCTGGCAAACCACTCGAAGCCCTCACAGTGTCCACCTCGCTCCTTGTCTCTGCGTTGCTCTCTCTAGACTAGTCCTCGTAAGACTTTGTGTGAACACCTAGCTTCGATAGAGTGCCGAGGTGGTGGCTACTCCCCTGCTCCCGCTTGGGAGGGGACCCCGTATTTCCGTAGCAATTTATGCATACCCTAACAACGACGTTACAAATTCGACTACTTTCAATAAACCTTGATTTGTTTCCGTCTGCTCCTACAACAAATCTCCCCCCTTTTTTTTTTTTTGAGTGAGTTGCTCCTTCTCGATTGCTTGTCTCTTGTATGGAACGTGATGTTGTCTGTTTGATGCCCTTGGACGGCATTGTGTTTTTTGCCTGTATTTGCCCTCGACGCAACGGTAGAATTGCTCCTTCGGCGAACCTGTGCGCCGTCCTGCTGTGGCGAGTTGGCCTTCCTGGCTGCGCGTTTTCAGGGCTACATGTCATCAGTAGAATAGGTTGCAGAGACGAAAGTGGAGTAAGTTTCATTCAAATAATTGATTGCCGTAGGAGCTCGTGCAGGGTTGCCGATCGCCGGCGATTTGGTCGGGACACCTCTTGCACGGCACGATAACCCGACTCAAGCCCATGCACTTCGAAGTATCACTCACGAGGCGACGGCCTTGTTTGCTTAAGCATGTTTCAGAAGGCGCACGCAACCAACGGTAGTTGACACAATATACAACCCCCTGGACCGATTTTTGTCAGCTCGGTTTCTCCGCAGGAGAAAAGAGTGACTGCTGTGCCGAAAACGGCGTCGTTGGAACCGACTGGTCGAGATCTCTCCGAAAAGATATCACTTGATTACAGTATTGACACCCGCTTTGTCGTGGGGTAGTCGAGCTTTCAAGAGTCGGACCAAGGTGTGTGTATGGAACCTTGTGTCAACTACGGTACTTCCCTCTGATTCGTGTTCCTCAAAGTGAATCTCGAGGTACCCCATTTGTATACAACGACCTGGGCGAGCCGCTGTGCCTTGGGGTGTGTCGACGTTTGGCGCGACCCCACCCGAGTTCGTATGCACTCAGTGGTCTGCAGGGAGGGCGACAACACGAAGTGGCGAGGTCAAAGCTGCAGTGGCGTTTGGGGCGAGAGGACGACGCTCGTTCAACCTAAGGAGGGGCGTTCACAACATCTTTTGTGCAGTATTCTCGGATTTGAAACGAGTCCAGATTTTCGGAACGAAATCGGGAAAGAGTCAGATATCCCATGAAGCATGTTGAAAAACGACTCTTCTTACCTTGTCCAGTCCCCGTTCTCTCTCCCGAAATACCCCGTTCTCTCTCCCGAAATATGTACGCCGGAGAAGAGGAGAAAGAAAACTATTTGCGACCATCCCACCCGTCCTACAAATAAATGCTACTGTTCATGCATGAACTTACTGATCATTCAAATGCTTTGGGTCTGGGCACCTAGCGATATGCCCTCCTCGGCGCAGGAGGCCTCACCCAACCAAATCCAATACTACTTACATTGAATGATCAAACTTCCAAAGAGAAGAGACAGACATGTCTCGTACCAGGGTACTATGCATTTTTCTTCCAAAACGCCACCTTCTACAAGCAAGCCGGAACGGATTTCGGTAATGTCTCGTACCGTATACTCTACAAACCAAGCATGCAGAGTGAATGAATCTGATTGGCTTATTTATTTAGTTTTTCTTCGGGGGGGGGAAATACTGGTCCAGAAAATACCAACCCTCGGCATATGGCTACGTCTCGGCATTGTAGGAATGCGAGGTCAATGGTCTGACCACTACGACATGCGTTTACATGAATAAATGTAGCATTGTAGGAATGAATGCGATGTCAACGGTCCAACGGTTACGGCATTTTCTTTTTCTTTTTTCTATTTTTTTTGTCTTCAGTTCAAATCAGCGCTCACAGCAGTAGTGCCGTTTACTCCAACCCGTGGTTACACAGAAGATCCCCTCTCTACCCTCCCCTCCTGCGGTACTTTGCCTTCGACTACTAATAATGCGAGAAGAGTTCAGCACTCTCTCGCCTCTGTGCACACACGAACTAGCGCTATCCACAAGGCCAGGAGCGGAAGCGAGAGAAAACTCACTTTGCAAGAAAAGCTCGCCTACCTGGGATTCGAACCCCTGACCTGGCCTCTAGAAGGTTTCGAGGATACCAACTAGACCACCGGGGTGACCGGTGTCATGCGTCTAGACGAATATAGCATTGCACATAAAAATGGGAGGTCAATGGTCTGACCAATACATACGGCGTGCGTTCACAACATAAATAATCTATAAGCACGCGACCAAGTGTAGACACAACAATATTGCAGCGTGAGTGAAACCATAAACAGCCCAGGAGCACCGCTCGCTCATTATCACGCAAGTCGCACTGCAGTGCAACTGACCTCTAGGCGCGAAAATGCCCTCAACCTATGCCATCAGCAGACGACGAAGAAAGACGCGCATCCGAACAACAACATTCAAGCGCACCCAATGTAGTGGAAGTTGATATGGTACAAACATATCCCGCCACGCCTGCCCGTGCTGTCACAAAACACGTCAAATAGTCCAGGTGTGGTAACGAAAGACTAAAAAAGTCCAACGAACTAAAGGGACAAAGGGACACATAAATACGACCGTCGCCGCGAAGCCAATTTCGCGAGGTACAAACAAGCCTGGCGCCATTTCTCCAACCTGAGAGGAAAGAAATAAAAGCAGTCAACACAACAAATGCAAAAAAGCCATCGTACGTGGCAGGAAGTATTGAGCCAATCTCGCGTATGTCCCTGGCGAATCGGTATGAGACATGGAATTTGTACTGGCCGTCAACGCACTCTAAAAACAAATGGTGAACATGTCGTTAACCCTGATTTTCAATATGCTACATTGGAAGCCGCTAATGTCATTTGCAGACCAAATACCCTTTCAGGAAGAAGCTTGCGGGCATTCTTCGTGCAACGCGTAGATCGAGCTCAGAGCTTTCTCCCGAGAATTTTCTGGTGGAAGCAAAGTAAATACAGCGCCCGAAGTTACGTAAAAGATTCAAGCACACACACACAAACGCAACGGAAACCAAAATGTGGCACCGAAAACACCCTTCATTCTGAAAACGGAAGTTACGCAAAATGAAAAACATAAGATGACAAACTCAAACACAACAAAAAAGCAACGGAAACAAACAAGTGGCGCAGAAAACCCCATTCATTGTGGGAAAGGAGGGTACGAAAAAGGAAGAAAAAAAAACGATGACAAAACACAACCACACAAACGCAACAGAAACAAACCGAAAACGCCTTTCCGGAATCGGCTCCCGGCACACCAGCCGTTTCGGATAGACATCAGCCGTTTCGGATAGACATATAGCCAGGAGAACAAACACACCCACCAGTTCGTACCCTGAAAACGCCCCCCCAATATCTACATCGCCCTGGGCCGATGGGTCATGAGACCCGCAACTTCTCTAGGGTCTCACAAACGTACCGATCGCACCTACCTATCGTGAGGAAACACAAACAACACACGATCCCAGCTACATCCCATCGTCTACCGCGAAAACGAGCCTCATCTTCCTCTGCAACCCATACCTTCCACGTGGGACTATTTTCAAGCGTCTCACAAAAGCACCGATCGCACCAGTCTTGGGTCAAAACACGTATGCGATTCCAGCTATACCATCTTCATAAGCTTGTGTACGGCGAAAACGACCCCTTCCTACACGTGGGACTGTCCTCAATTCCAGCCACAGCATCCCAAATACCAGCTGCGGATTCCAGAAGCACGACCGATATCTCTTGCAGTCTTCAACAAAACAACCTTAAGAGTCAAGCCCTCCAGAAAGCAGAAAATTGACGAGAAAATCGACGAGAACAAGAACTTCGCAGGTTGGTTGGGCCCACGTGAAAGAATTCATTGCTGGGCGAGTCCACGCAGCTGATGAGGATAGGCTTGGCTTTCTCTATGCGGTTGCCCAACCCCTTGCCCTACTTTTCATTTTGTTTTGCAATCGCGGGAGGCGACGGTTTTCTGCAGACAACAAGAAAAAAGCCCCACAAATGATACCAAATTTATGACAGCACCCCAAGAGAGGCGATGATGATTCCGAAGCCGTCGCTATGTTACTCGCCCGTGAGCTTGCTCGTCTGCTGGTTCCACAGCCTGAGGGTTTCCCAGGAAGACAGCGTTGTTGGGAGACGGGAGGCGGGGGGGGGGGAAACAGAACGATGAGTGAACTATTCGGTATTCCGAGCACCAAAAAGGAAGAAATAAATCCTACCATGTTCGGAGACCTGTTCG